AGAGAAATTGACATCTCTCGCTGCAAGATCAAGCAATTTAACCTGAAAAAGAATGTACTTTCGCTCTATACATCTTTACTACTACTTTAATTCATTTTCAGAATAAAGGTCTCCTAGAAATGATTTTCGTTAATTTTACAAGTTACTTAGAAAAATACGCCAGTTAGCTTTCCATCAATCATTTAGATGGTTAAGTGATAAACTTCGATAAGGTTAAGAGTCTGTTTACAAACTAATGAAGATCGAGCTACTAGATCATAAAGTGATATGTAAACACACACGTGCATTTGGACGTGCACCTGAAAAAGAGAGCATGCAATTGATAAGTTGAGAGATGGCCAGTCATCATTTGGAGTGATTCACGAGCAAGATGAAGTGGCCATAGTGCTTACGGATTGTTAAATTGCCATTAGTCCAGTTGCAAAAAAAAGGCAAAACTTTTGGCAATTTAAGATAAAAACTAATGCCAGACAAATCAAAGAAAGTAGACAAAGACCATTTCATAATAATATATCTGTATTCAAAATGTCTAAGCCCAAATATGCTTGTATTAACTTTCTCTGTCCCATTCTTTCTTCTTTTTTTCAATTATATTGCAATACTCTATATTTCAGAGGTTTGAACTGTGTTTGCCTCTTCGAACGTTGTCTCATTGTACGAAATCGTATCGGAATCTTTGCGGAATCGGTTGATAAACTTGTTCAGGAAATGCAAAAGCAATGCCCAAAGAGCTTGGAAAATATTAAACATCTTCAAAACGAACTGCCTACAAGTTCATACATCGGATTCATTGTACTAAGTACGCTTAATCAAACATAAACAACAACAAAAAAATGCGGTGATTCAATATATTCTGACAGAGAGCCCTAGCAGCTATAGTACGAGTAGTATAGGCTTCAGAGCCCCTTTATAGACTCCGGCGGTAAAAGGAGCAAAATTTTAAACAGCTGCATGGGTCATCAAGAACACCCTCTATTACTAATATTCTGTGTATCTTTTGTTAAAAAGCGTCAAACCATAGATACCAATTCTTCTGTATGAATATACTTGTATAGTTGTGATGATACAAATGTTTTAGAAAAGATAATAATACGTCTACTGATTTTTCCTATACAAGAGGCCCAAGGGCGTTAATGGTCACCTGAGTATAATACAACATTGTAAAGGATTTATAGAAGTACAATATGAAACAAAATAAACTTATAGATGAAACTATGTTGCCCAAAAGCAAGAGAAATAGGATAATCAACAAAATAATAAGTCTAGTACTCATTAACAAATCATAGAGTAGATCTGTTTACTTGTTTTATTCTCAATAGAAAAAAAATTAGTTCAAGTAAAATAATACTGATATAGTGTTCTCCAAACAGAGGTTTAGGAAAATGAAAAATTTGCCATTGATCGAGAGAAAAAGATAAAATGTCAGATTAGATGAAGGCGGTAAAAGAAGTTACAAGGGTAGAGGATATCATTCAGAAAATTCAACTCTGTCGAAATGCACTGAGTCTTTTGCTTTGCTTAAGTTTGCTTTGTTTTGTTGATGTTTTATGTTTTTTAATCTCAGTTGAGTAATATTTTTGGTGAAATAAAGGAAATTCTGATTTGTGAGTATAACACCCAGAATCTATGAAGGGAGGTAGAGAAGCTTATTTACACAAACCCAGATTACCCCACTCCCATCCCCTCTGAAAATCAATCAAAGCAATTCCGAAATGAACACTAATGGAAATGTAATCACTCGATCGTTAAGCAGTGGCAATATAGTAGCTACTTTAAGGTAGTTCTCTACATCGTCACAATATTAACTGGCTTCCGTTTGAAAGCCATTTTGCTCCGAAATGGTCTGATTCTGTCCAGAACAAATTAACTGTACATCAAATATTGAAATTCTTCATAAAATAAGAAATATCAATCCTCCTACCTGCATTCAAGACTTTTCACTCATGTCATCTGCAGCACACAACCTTACTTACATGGTAGATGATAAAAGTATGTCTTCCTTTATCAAAATATTGAATTTAGATTTATCTGTAAATGTGACTCTACGTGAACATCTTCATAAGTTTATTTGACAATTCAAAAGCATCATGTGAAGTATTAAAAAAATCTAAATTAAAATAAGGAGTATCTGTAATATGAATGAAATATTTTTTAAAAAAAATACGTTTGGATATTGAGTCTACGATTAGAAAGGAATGCATGCAACAAACATCACTTAGAAACTGGCTTCTTAGGAAAGAGAAGAAATCAAAGCTATTACACTTTAGGCATCTTGTTGCTAAAAAGAGTGGACCGAAAATTCTTGGTGTGATTATGCCATGTGATTTCAATAGTCTATGCTGAAGCTTGCAAGGGAAATGGGTGAACAAGGCGTGCAGAATGCCTGATGAAAACATTTATCGGCAAAGATTATTCTGTTATTCAAAAAAAAAAATTATGTGGTATTGGTGGTGTTCGAACCCTAGCAATAAAATTCCTGAGTATCATTTTCCTTTAAGACTATATCGCTGACCACTATGCTATATAATTCCTGATGAATAGTGGTATTTAAATCACGTTTGTGATATGACCCTTGACTAAATGGACTTCAAGTATTTCTCGGAAAAATGCGAATGCTGTGTCATAAAAGTGTATTTTTAAGGTATAATGGGTCTTTGTTCCATGTTTATTTTAATTTTATTTTATTCAATGTATATTTTTGCTCAAACTTTCAAAAAAAAAAAAAAAAAAAAAATGGAGCGAAGACCCACTCATATCGACAAATTGTTAAAAAAATCTTATAGTGTAAAAAGATTATCCTTTTGCTCTCTTTATAGTGCTTGTGTGCTATTTTATAGGCAAGTAATTTCAATCTTTTTAAAATTTAGCAAATTGTGGAAATTTTCACATAAAGTAAACTTTAATGTTAGATGAAATATCAGAGAAAATTTTGTTATAATTGAGATTAGTTTTTCACCTTCATGTTTGTCGCACTATAGGCATTTCGAATTCGCTCGCCTTGTTCGCCCACCTTCTTTAAACAATCAATTTTATTTATTAAAAAAATAATAATAGCCAATATTTCTTTTTTTTTAAATAAAATGTGCTATAAAAAAATTTGGGGGTTATCAAGGAATACTCAGTTACTGAATAACTCTACAACAATGACTCGTATTCAGATCGAAGCCATTAAACTTTTAATCTTATGTGGCATGGAAAGTTGTTTAATTTTAAGTAATTTTAAATATTTAATGTAATCCCAAATTTTAACAGTTGATCAGTAAAACAAACTTTTTTTCAAACAATTTCCTCTGAGGGAAATACAATTAATCAAATAGTAAGAACTTATTTTAGCGACATCATCTGAAGTACCTTTTATTTTGTGAACCTTCTGTAATCTCCGTGCTTTTAACTGAGCGAAGTTATAGAAGAAAAGCTAGAGTTAAAACATGAAAGGAATAAACACATGCTATATCTTTAAAATTTCTATAACTTCCCTTTTATCTATACATCTTATCTTCGACAAAAGGGGGCTATGTCTATATTTAACACGTGCACTTTGCTAGTAAAAGCAATTATTAAAAATCGAGCTACAATTTCTTCTTGCACCTCTTTTACAACATCTGAAACAAGTGAAAAGATGAGTAACTCGCCTAGGTTCCATATCGGCGAAATTAAATGATTCCAGTTATGTACGATATGCGTATGCCAGTCCTTGTAAATGCATGTATCTACCGATATACTATTCCTGGTGGTAACGAATGTTGCAACTGTTCAACATTCTCCCTGACAAGTTTACATGGCCGATTGTATATTCATTTAGTAAGATATACAATCATGTATTTCAAAAAGAATTTTGAAGTCAACAAGCCCGAGGAAAAATTTATGAAATGTGAATTCAATTTATATCATCCAGTATTATTTCTCGTGTTGCCTATTCTTTCTAACAAGGCATAAAGAACTATTTCATTGCTATATCATTGTATTTTTATTATCAACGTAATAATCGCAAAACATAGGTAACATAAAATGATGAAAACAACGTTGGACACTAGGACGGAATATATGTATTTAAACAATAAAAAATTAAAATTAAAAAAAAAATACAGTAATTCTATTAAAATAATTGGAATGCTTCTGTTAAAGAGATTCAAGACACAGATTATTGTTAAATGCAATTTTAAAACTCATCAACCTGTGATCTTTTTGATAATCCTTTTTTTCAACAGTTTTTAAGATGATTGTTTTTGTCAGTTATGCTCCATAACTCCATGGGATTAAAAACTAATCCAGGAATTATTTCGAAATATTTCGATAAGAAATAATGACCATTTGATTGTTCTCTCAGAAGCCTCCAGATTTAAAATCGCAAACCTTCGATTTAAATTTAAAAATTTACAGAAAACGATCGTTTTATGTCAACAAAATTTCTTGAAGTATCATCTAACATAGTGACGTTATCAGGATGGGTGGACGGTTTTTCTGTGGAAATTCTTTATACACATGCCCTAATACAGTCAATTTGCCCAGTGGCCAACAAACATTGTGTTCAGTGAATGTATAAACAAGGCACAATTAGTTATAAACATGAAATAATACATCTTTTCAATTTCAAAATCGGGGGTTTTTTTCACAGTAAAAAAATGAACCCCGTAGTAATGAGGTTAATTTCAATATTATCCATCAGTGAACGGAAAATATCCCACAGGATACATACGGTTGTATGTTAGCATGACATCAAAAGAACACTTATAAAACAAAGGAGTAAACACAAGCACATTGAAAAAAAAAGATACAGTAATGTACCCCAAAATGTTTTATAAGAGGGTCATATCATATTGACATTTCACAACTATTTTGTCTCGAAAGACAAATCCAAGTTAAGGCACTTTTAGAACTCATTTCATTCACAACTTAACTATAATTGCTTCCCTCAAAGTGCAATTGATAATCCGTCCAATGTAAATGCTGTCCAGAACGAAAATCTGAAGAGAAGTCAAACTTTAAGATGTTTCCCCCCTTCAAGATGGCTTTTTCAGGTTGGACGGTTTGTTAGAGTCTGTAGTTGGAGTTTCATTTACTACTTTCACAGAATCAAGTTTGTTTTCTATTTCATCCTCTGTTTTTACTTCAACATTTTCATTAAAAGTTACGCTTTTGCCTGAGGGCCTTCTCGGGTCAGAATCTGATTTTGAAATCCCTGATGTTTGATTCGAAAGTTCTGACGAAGGCACTGATTTAGGTGATGAAACTTGCGAAAGCGAAGAATTATTTCCGGAAGTGGGTGTGGGAGTACTCGGATAACTTTGTATGACTAGATCCACTTTGTCTTGTGAGCGCGCAGAATCATTTCCGGAAGTGGGTGTTGGAGTTTCAGATTTGCTCCCCTTTAAGGAATCAGATTTGTTTTGTTTATACACATTATGTTGTTTTTGGTTCTTATTGGTTAAATTTGGTATTCCATTTGAGACTTTGTTTTGCTTTAAAAAACCACCTAAAGCAGAATTGTTCTTTTTTTCCTTTTCGCTTGCTTCTTCTACAGTTATCACAGTTTGTTTATTCGAACCCTTTTGAGTTGCCTCGATTTGAAGATTCTTTGATACTTTAGACCGTGTTGACCAACGCTTTAAGAATCCCAATGTTGGGGCTACCTTTGCCATTTCCTTCCTCTTCATTTGAATCACAATCAATCTGGCTCGTAAAATCTTCTTAGTATTGTCATCCAGCGACTCCAGGTTTTCATTTCTCTCGAGCGTTTTCTTACAACAGCAGTCAACGAGTTTAGCGACGGTAAATGCGAGGATAAGTGCACCGAAAGAGACGATTATAGGTGTCAAGATTTTAGGGTAATCAGCACTTGAAGTGTTATCTTCTGAAATGAAAAAGAGCACATTTTAGCTAATATGTTCTTATTGAATTACTGAAAGACAAACTCTCTCTCTCTCCCCCCCTCTCTCTCTCTCTCTCTTTGTAAAACTTTATTCTTTGTCCGAAATTTGACGTCCTAATAAATGAACTTTTCGCCTAATTAGAACAAAAAGAATTAAATGTCTGCAAGCATGACACCACGACTAATTAAATTACAGTGATCAAGGACAGCCAAAATAATTGACACAGAACACGTATACTTTTGAACTGGAGTGCAAATCAGCTTGATAACGAATTGATTTTGGAGCCTGATGAGTCGGTGTGAGGTGTATTATGCAGATACCTTCCAGGTTACAGGTATATTTTAACGTACCGACTCTTTCATCTGATGTTTTTGCACACAATATTACCAATTATTTTAAAATATCCAAGAATAACTTTGCCTTGAACAATGTATAAATAAAATAAACCACTTTGCCCTACTTATAAAACACAGAAAAAAAAACCTATATGTAAATCAATAAACACAATCAGCGTTATATAGCCTATGGATATATGATGGCAATATAACAAAAGGTTGATAATGACTAAAGATATTTTGGTTATGTTATCATTTGGTCTTTGTGTGCCGATTTCCTGTTGTATACACATATATGTAAACTTTATGAAAATTAACTCATTAGTTAGTTATTAATTAGTTTGATACATGATATGGTGATTTTTAATTTCATTTTAAATATCAATGTCAAAGAAACCAAACCAAACCAAAACAAACAAAAAAAAAAAGACAGGCAGATAAACAGAACAAACGAATAGGGGAAAAGACAAACGAAATTAAAAAAAAATTGAAATTTAAAAGTCAAAATAAAGCAAAAACAAAATGACACGTATGAAATTTTATATGATTTTACAAGAACGAAAAGTATGTGGTAAAATCGTCCTCCAATAAATGGAATTCCTTGGTGTCTTTATAGTACATGTGAATAATTAATGCAAAGATATGACTGAAATTGTTTTTTCTTTGTTAACACACATAGTCATACAAATGGATATTATTCAAAACTACCCCATCATATCAGATGTTTATATAACTGTAAAAAAAAAAAAAAAAAAAAAAAAAAAAATCAATCGCAAAAAACAAAGGTTACTCGTGAACGGATTTTAACAAGTTATGTAAAGTATTAAAAAGCGCTTTCTGATTGTGGCTACATTTCAAATCATAACTTTTGTAACAAATCATTAAAGAAATAAAACTACAGATTTCTTTTGTTAATTGTTAATACAAATCTGTAGTTCTGTTTTAATCTGTAAATGTTCTGCAAGTAAAATAAGAGGATTATCATTGCATTTTCCTTGAGATTAAAATAATTATATCGAAGGAAACCCATTTTGCAATGGCAAATCGCATTGGCCAAATTGACTTACTAATAGTTACAGTGTATCGGAATATTGCAGTTGAGCGCCTTTGTGTCTTAATAATGTGTCTACCAAGGCAACGGACAGCATCACCATCCAAAAATAGGACTATATTACTGCTTTCCAGTCTGAAAAGCGTCTAAATTTGAACCCCCACACACTCTAACGTTTGGCAGATATTCACAATCCATTCAAATCCAAGTTACTGAGAATATGTCCTTGGCACTACAGCACCGCAAGACACTCTCTAAATCATAACAATCAATTAGCTAGATAAAGTTATATGTTTTTTCCCATTCCCCATTAATGCCCCTTGGACATTACAATAGGAACTTGATCATTGATATATGACCTTGACCTTTAATTGTGACCCTGAATCAAGGTCAAGAAACACCTGTAGGCCATAAGCAACAAAATGCCTAAGTTTTAATTCATTCCAATCCGAAGGGTCAGAATTATGTCCTTGACACTATATCACTTTTCCAGTGACCTTGATCTGCAAAATGTGACTTTGAGTTGAGACATGACATACCCATACACTTACATTTCACACAAACAAAAATTCATTCAAATCAAAAGTATCAGAGTTATATCATAGGTACGTTGCCAGTGGACCTTGAAGTTTGAAGTATGGCCTTGAGTTGAGATCAATTTTGGTTCTGGGCAACAATATAGTAAGGTTTGAATCCACTCAAATCTGGGATTTGGGTGGTATAGCCTGGACACTATTTTGTGACAGTGAAAACTACAGAGAGATAAAACCAGAATGACTTCTCCCAGTAGGAATAGACAGCACTGTTTAGTGTTGTCTAAATCTTGTTGTCTTAATTGTGAAGAATCATTTGTGGAACACTGATCACAACTGAATTTTGTCACGGCCCCAAAAACATCTTGACTGAGAACAGACTTAAGTCAACAATTTCAATTCTGTATAACTTTTCAAATGATCACAAAAATAAAACCAAATTTTCATTGAGTGTTTGCGTAAAAATAAATAGTTGGGCGTATTAACATGAAAGTCAAGTTCAGAAAGTAACACATTATATAGCACTGACCACGACAGTATTTCTGAATATCTCTTTTCAAGTGTTTAAAGTCTAAAAAATCTAATACACAAATGTATTGGTTTGGAAGGAAATGTTCCAGTTTGTTAGAGGACTTCTATATATTTCTATCCACTTATTGTCCGGTTTGAACCAATTTATCGCCAATGTAAAGAATCCTTTTAAATTCTAACAACACACAATGAAGAAATTATTAAATTAATCCTTTCTGCTAGCTAGATTTTGGGGTCACTTTTCACTAAAGTACAAGGTCAGTTTTTTTGGGTGTATTTGTATCTAAGAAGGTTATACTACATTAAGAAAGGTTTTTTCTCGATATTTTTTTAATCAATTGAATAATCTACTTTCTAGACATAAAATATTTGAGTATTCAAAAGTACAAAAACTCCCCCTTTTGAATTTAGCATTTTTTAAAATTATTTAACAAGGTTAAAATTCTTTGCAATACAGGAACTTGGATGATTGTGAATTACTATATAAACGCGACTTTATACTTCGGTTGTTCACTCATTCGTCATGTACTCATTATATATAATATTGGCACTTGAAATTTGTAAATTTATAAAAACACTTCTCATGAATATCAATAAGAAATTTAGCCAATTAAACACCCTAAGACGAATACTTTTGATTCAAGGCTACGGAAATAGTTTATACAATCACTAAAACTTTACTATCTGTACAATGAAATTTAACCCCCCACCCCACCCACACGTGCCTTGCCACTACATTTTGATTTTGCGAGTTTTATTTGAACGTAGGAATTGGGTTCGAGGCTTGAAATCTTTAATTATTCGCTGACTGAGATTATTTTCTTTTATTATAAACGAATTTTTCTTTCGAAATTAGATGATATATTTGATACTACTGTATAGTTGTAGAACTTGTATCTTATCCTTTTGACTTTGTCGATAAAATATGTTCTATTCAAATGCTGTGTATATCTCCACTAAGGTAGTATTTATTGTTTAATTTAGATTTGATTTCACTTCCTTTTTGTTAATTAAGAAATAATGAATCCTTTTTTTTAACTTTAATTCAGGTCGGTCATGTAATGAAATCCCATAAGGGCTCTATGGTATACTCACCCGTATAATTTACATCCTGAGAAATGTTTAAAAATTTAATGATACCTTATTACTTATATTTACATTTGTGACTGATTTGTAGTAATTAAATTCTTGAGAACTACAGTTTTAAACCCATGAAATAATTTATTTTTATCATATGTTTACCCCCTTTATCCCGTGGATATCACTCAGGTTTTTTTTTCACACACCACATGGTTTTCGCTTAAACGTTATGAAGTAAAATAATGTGAAAATTTCATGTACAAAAACAGTGTCAAACTGTTAAACTCGCCAAGACTTGGGGAGAAACAAACACACACACACACACACAACTCGTTGGATAAAAACCATATCCAACCACAAATCTTGGGAGATCTTAAATGGCCCGGTTTACATAAAGGGAAAACATTTGCAAGTGAAAATGTGTATTGCTGACAAACATATACATGAGCCAAGCGTACGGATTCCTAGTCCGCGAGTTTTTTTTTACCATGATTGAATCGAACAAATAAACTCGGCAATGCAAACAGCATATGTGTCAGAAGATTAAGGCGTAACTAGTCAATTAAATCACTTGACTTACAAATAAAATTACGTATGTAATTGTGATTTCGACAACGGACTGGCTCCTCGGATATCGTTTATTAGTATTTATCCAGCTGAATGGGTTTTAATTGATCACTAATTTGTAAATCACCGTCAAACATGAACACCCCAATCAAGTTTCCACGTGAATAGAAATGTCAAGTTAAATACTGTTGCTTCAAATTTAAGAGGATTATTTCCAGAAAATTGCAAAGATTTTGAATTTTGAAAGAGTTTACATTCAAAATAAAACGCAGACGACATTAAAGACATTTTAACAGCGTTTTCCTGAAAACTAGCTTCTTTTTGTAATTTTTTGTATGATTTCTATATGACTTTCATGACTTCACCATGTAAAATGTATTATCGGATTAATTTTCAGTATATATATTTCTTGCAAGAACCCGTTGGATTATCCACAAATGATTTCAGCAAATACGTATATCACAAAACTTGTACACATTAAAATTTCTGTTCTAAAACATTTTAACCCAAAGCAAGTGTTTGTATAATTTCAAAATCATTGCCAACTTTGCTATGTTTGTGATTTAGAAGTGATTAAGGTCACTTGAACACCCATGATTTGTTTGGCGTCGTTTAATCACTGCAGAACAGGTTAGTAAATCAAAAACATCCCTATTTTTTTTTGGTTTCACACTCGAATAATTATCGTCAACATACATTCATGGGAATTAAAGTTTAGTGAAAGACCCAATAGGAAAACTAAGATCAAAATAATGATAAATACATTTGTATAGAAAAGAACAGAAAATAATAAAAGTTAAATTGAATATTGGTATAGCTCCGTTTTAATTTTAAGAAGAGAAAAGAATTCTTAAAAAAAAAAAAATAACATTCGATTTGAAGTAAAATCAAAAAGTACCTGCTTGTACTAAGACTGGGAAAAGCGAAAGACTCAAGAAATATCCATTTTCGGTCAAGCCCATATTTTCTGTCCATTAACACACATTTCTTCCTTTTCCTTCCCCTGATGTATCCATCCATTTATATCAAAGCATATATAATTCGGGATAAATGTTGTTCATTTTTGTTGTTTTGTTTTTCTTCCTTTATACCGAAAATCCAACGCATAAAATCACTGTATCCACCCGTACATGAAAAACCAGTTCACGGTATTTGTTTATTTCACCTAATAATGATTTAATTCCATGTCACGCAGTAATTAGTGATTATTATATTACACGGTAATAATCCCACGAGGTTTTTTTTTTTCTGAACGCAGACCAATGTCCGTGGAACCGTGAGTGGTCAACCAGGGAACGCAATATACAACACAGAACCAATGGCGAGTTGAAAATCGTGATCAAACACACTCAGCTTTCAATTAGCAATACCTACCTATTCAACAATTCTATAGAGGCTAGTGCCATGTAAACCCCCCAAAACCACGGAGCACTGGGACATTTAATTCCATGTTTGCAATTATTAAAATGGCTACGCAGAGGTATATAAAATTTAGATATGTTCAGTAGCACGTTTGCCTCTTTTGGGAGATTTTGTAAGACGCTTAATAGAATATGGAGCTTTAAATAGGATTAAAAGATTTGCCTTGTAAAAACTTTATGACATTCGGTTGCACTAGGGGAAAGTGCCAGCGAACCGAAAAATAGATCTGCAAATGGTGAAAATATAAATACTTATTTAATTAATAGTAGATTTTTTTTGTTTTTATTAGCTTACCGGAAAGCTCAAGTGAGCTTTTCTGATCACATTTTGTCTGTAGTCCGTCTTTCCGTCTATCCGTCCGTCTGTCTGTAAACTTTTCACATTTTCGACTTCTTCTCCAGAACCACTGGGCCAATTTCAACCAAACTTGCCACAAAGCATTCTTGGGTGAAGGGAATTCAAGTTTGTTCAAATGAAGGGTCACGCCCTCTTTCAAGGGGAGATAATAAAGAATTAGTGAAAAATTAATAGCATCTTTTAAAAATCTTCTTCTCAAGAACCACAGAGCCAGGAAAGATGAAACTTATGTGGAAGCATCCTCAGGTAGTGTAGATTCAAGTTTGTTCAAATCATGACCCCCGGGGGTAGGGCAGGGCCACAATGGGTGATCAAAGTTTTACATAGAAATATATAGGAAAAACCTTTAAAAATACCTTCTCAAGTACAACAAAGCCATTTGTTATATTGACATGGAAGCATCATCAGGTAGTTTAAAAGTCAAGCCCCCCCCCCCCCCCCGGTAATCTTTTCAATACTGAACTGATTTGCGCTTTTGCTAAGCCAATGTGCTCAGGTGAGCAATGTGGCCCATGGACCTCTTGTTACTTTTGAAATTGAGAAGCCTTTTCTTTCCTTTTTTGTATAGTTTGTCTATTTGTTTATTTGTGTTTTTATTGTTTGTTTTTTTTAATTCAGCGTTATTCAGTACGTATTACTAATAAGAAGATCCTATATAATACACTATAGTATATATTATGTTATATATAACACTGAGTCTGTCCTATCATGTTTGATATCTGAACCTGATGACTTAATTTTCATACTATGGCAAATTTAATTCATTATTTCTAACATCAAACAAACTGCATAAAAATTTATTGCGCCCACTTTATAAGTGACTTTAACAATAATAAAAACTATTCAGAAAAAATTACAAATATTCATTTGAAAGGTAATGAGTCCAAACGTTCGTGTTTATTGTGATAGAAAAAGATTTTTTCAGACAAATATATTCATCTTTCTTCAAAATGGAAAAGTTGTATAGTGATTTTGAAAATTGTGCCGAATATACCATATCTCAGAAAAAGGAAGGAAAATGAACAACTAGTAATTAAAATACAGTTTACCGATCTAATAAGTTACAGAAGCAAAACAATGCTAAACAAGATGTGTTTCTGATGTCCCCGTATTGTGGCTTATAACCAAAGTTTTCAAATGTAAGGTCGAGAAAATACGGTCAAAAAAGTTGGTACCAAGAGAAAGAACTTATCACAAGGACTTTACACATGTGATATATACGAAAGCCCTAGTACAAACTGTTCAAATTTTATAGCCAGGTTGGAGTTTTTCAAGATTTCGTCAAACTCCAAGGTCAAAGTCATGAGGTCAAAAATGTTCGTACCCAAAGAAAATCGTGTCACAAGAAATACACTTTTGAAATATGAAAGCGCTAGCACCAACTATTCAGAAGTCATGGTAAATGTGAAGTTTTTCAGAAGGACGTCAAACTTCAAGGTGAAGGTCATAAGGTAAAAAAAAATGTTGGTAAAGAAAAGTCTTGCGACAAGAAAAATACATGGAAAATAAGAAAGTCCTAGTAGCAACCGTTTATTTTGGTTTTGATTCTGATAAATGAAAACTTCCAGGTGTTTCGTAAGTTGGTAAAGGTGGCAATTTACGGGCTTTTCCCATTCTATTTTCAACGTCCACGGTGGAAAATCTCCGAATACAAGGCATAAAAAATCTTAGTACAAGGAAAGCACCGTTTACAAAAATAAAAAAAAAAATAAAAAAAATTAAAAAAAAAATAAAAAAAATTCTGGTGTTAATGGATTTCAAAATGGCTTCACAGGACGAAAGCGTGCTCGTTCAGCAAGATAATTTCACCTACTCGTCAAAATTGTGTTGTTGTGGACATCTGAGGTCTTCCAACAATTAATATTTATGAAATATCTGTTTATTAATATGCTCATGCAACACAAACATCGCAACGTAAGCGTATACTAGTATACTGGTAATTTTCTTGACAAAATTATTTTTTATCAAACCTAAATCGTATTTTTTCTTACATCACATTTGATTTATCATTTTAGCTATGTATGCTTTCATATTAATTTTTTTTTTTACTCCTAAACTCTTAAACATAAATACAACCCCTCCCCACTTCATGTACGCCAAGTTTTACTTTAGATAGTAAAAGTTTGAAAGAAATTGTTTAGTAAGCTTCTGAATTTGGATCAAATTTAATACCGGTAACTCGTGATTTTTCATGTGACTTTTAAAAGAAAAGAAATGATTTAAAGGCTCATTGTGTAGCAATGAATGTATCGTGTGATTTATGAGATCACAGGCGCCACTATACTTATAAATTTTATCGATATTTGCACCAAATATAAGTCAAAACACAAACAAACACTACGAAACAAACAAAATATAAACACCTCCCTAAAAAAAAAACAAAAAAAAAAAACAAACAAACAAACAATCAAACAAACACCCCACCCCCCACCCCACCCCACCCCCCCCCCCCAAAAAAAAAACAAAACCCACAACAACAATTAAAAAAAACAACTAAATACAAAAGCAAATTAAGGAATAACGACCCTCTGTTCTAAATTTCACTTTTTTTTTACTTCCCAACATTAATTTTCATCAAGAGCTATAGAATTAGAATTAAATGAAAAATAGTTTGAGGTATGAAGCGCTGCTTATTTTTTCATATATTTTTTTTTTATCTCAGACCATGATATGAAAAAATTTCAACACAGAGAATAGAAAAGTAATAATTTATTATCACAACATAAAATTTAAAATATTAGATGTATATAAAAATAAAATTTAGTGTCATACCTATTAAATTCATATTAGGAAACATAATAAAGCACTGCTTCCTAAGGCAGAATATCACCATGTTTTATGTGCTTGTAAGAAAATAATATGACTATTAACAAGAGTTATCTTTCTTATAAATAGATATTTTTTTGTAATACTAATAAAAATTCTACATATGATACTTAATACAGGCGCGTATCTAGGAATTTTTTCCAGCCCCCCCCCCCCCCCACCCCCCAGTAAAAAAAAAATCCAATCCAGAAATTTCTTGACAAGCAAAAAAAAAAAAAAAAAAAAAAAAAAATCCTAAATTCCTTTCCCAAACGTAAAAACAAACATATTTCGTTGTGATGGTGGTAAGGTCCACGTTTTCTAAAGGGGGAGGGGGGGGGGTGTTTCAAAACTCCTTTTTTATTTGTTTCAGTATATACTTATATATACATGTAAAAACACTGTGAATTCCAGGGTATCCGGACCCCCACCCCCTCTAGATCCTCTAAAGTAATACATTAAATCATTTCAAAATTGTCAATTAAAAGATACAACTATTCAATTTGTAAAGTTTTAATAATGGATTTAATTTTTTTTTTTTTTTTTTTTTTTTGTTAAATATAATATAACAATTTGAAAAAATAAGGCAAAAGAAAATAGATTAATGTTTCAATCACGTGTCAGGTTTTATCGAATTTGACTACTCAAAGGTCTCAATTATTCAACTCTGGTAAAATAAACTATGCGTAATATTAGGATTTTTTTTTACTTTGAAAGTTATCTGTCTTATCAGAGGATCGGTCCCCCTTAAACACAAAAAGGCCATAATATGTATAAGACTATGTCAAAATACGAACATTTTTTTCTCCAGAAAATTAAATATTTTGAAAAGTTCTAAGTCTATTCCTTTTATGAGATTTGATTATTTATATGTCATATTCTTTAAAAATCTCAATAGGTACCTTTTTTTTCAATTCAATTCATTTATTTGACAATACCATCTATAGTAAGTTGTTCTTTTCTAATATCAAAGCACTCTTTCAGAAAGTTACATACTCTTCTAGGAATTTTAATACTTGGAGGGTTGATAATGTCAATAATAGGGTTTTCCTTCAAGTAACATTGAACATTACATATATCACAATATTGTAATCTATACTGATCAAACTAGGACAATGAAGTACAAAATGTTTTTCATTTTCAATAAAAAGTTTACAAGAATGACATCCACGTTTTTTTCTCTAGGAATAGGTGGCCTTGAGTATCTCCCCATTTCAATATGTAGTATATGAGCACTAATTGTTTGTTTTTGTTAGGATTGTTCTTTCAGATTTCTTCACTGGTAATTGTAGATAGTTCTATGATTTATATTCATTTAAATTTATTATATGACTATAAAAAGTTAAATTTCCAGAATCTGATTTAGAAATGTTCTTTAACTGTTCACAGATTTTGTTCATATAGTGCTCCTCGACTAAGTTTTATGTGATATGTCCAATGAGGATACAGACAATTTCTGTTGTAGAGTAAAAAATTTTCTCTCATTCTGTGACTCTAAATTTTTCAATCTTGAATAAAATTTAAACATATTTTCATTACACAAATAAAATAGTGGGAATTGTCCCAACTCATATAAAACAGCATTATTAGATGATTTTCTATGAACACCCAGAATGTCTTTAAATATATGGAGATGTATTTTTTCAGATGGGAAATGATCTGAGAATAATAAATCACATTTGTAGTCTGCAATCCAAATTTCAGAACCATAAGCTAGGTGCATCGTCGCAAGCCACGGGTTGGAAATAGAATGGACACAAAACCCGTGGCTTGCGACGATGAAGCTAGGTGATAATCCATATCTTAACATCTATTTTACATATCGGGATCGAGGTGCATTTAATTTCAACTCCACGTAACTATCTCAAACAAAATGGATCCTAAAGACGATGAAATAGTTAGTGCACCTATTGAAGAAAAGAATACAGGCTCAGTTGAGGTAAATTTAGCAGACTTATCACAAGAATAATATATAAATTTTCCAACATGGTTTGATTTTTTTTCCTTGTTTCCGAGGTATATTCAAAAGGTGTCATTGCATTGTTCAAATTGTTGTGTTCATTGACTGAGTGTAAAAAAAGTAGAATCTAGAGGCCTAATATACCTTTTTAATTTTTTTTTTTCGTAAAACAAATTTTTGTCGTGAAATATCAAATAAAAGTCATAAATAGGTTGAATAAACTAAAATTGATAAAATAGTTTGAATAATCTAACAATGTCTCGGAAAAAGCCCTCACCACACTTTGTCATGATCTTGTACAAATAACAATTTCTATTCACAGAATGATGTTCCATCTGGTGCCCCAGAAGTACCACCACCTGTCGTCAATATTCCAGCTGCTCCAAAGCCAAAACCTAAAAAAGGTGCGGGTTATTTTACTGAAGCGTTCCTTATTATTTTTGTTAAAATGTTCTATCGCTAAGATGATAATGTTCTATGGATCCAGTTTAATGGAAGAATGCATTCGGTGTATTGGCAATGCAGTAAAACAAGCATGGGTGATAATTCTAACTTAATGTATAATATGTTCGACAATGAAACCGTTTAGTAATAATATTAAAGAATTCTGCAACTCTCTAAATCTCTCAAATCATGTTTTGCATGCTCTTAATGACGTTAAAATTTTCAGTAAACTCCTGTGGCCTGCGGTTACTGTGTCACGCAAGGTCTTTTTTTTGAAGACAAAATTTAGGACTAATAGAAATATTATTCAACTTTGCACACCCCTAATGTATCAGGTTGAGATTCAAAATATAGTTTTGTGTCATTGGGAATTGCATTTTAAAATCCTCGTATGTAATTTTTTTCATGTATGTTGTTGCTATGATTAAGCCACCATGTTGGAAAAGAATTAGTCCATCATTTTCATTATTTTTAGTTTTACAATTTAACCATTTGATTAAAAAAAAAGTGAGGATTGGACTTAAAATTGACTTTAGAAAAATTAAAGTGCATCAGTGATATGTAAATGCTTCCCATGTTATTGCAGCTCCAGAGCTGCCTATATTTGAGAGAAGGAACTGGTTGATACACCTCCATTATGTAAGAAAAGAGTTTGACATCTGTAAATCCATCATCAAGGAAGGCCTAGCTGAAAGTGGTGGGATGTGTGAATATGCGGTCTACACTCAAGGTACACATGAACAATGTTCCATTAAAGAAGTATGTTTCAGAAAAAATTAAAAAAGGTTTAACATTAAACTCTGGAATTAAAAACCTAGCAATCATGAAATGATCAGATTGAAATACATGCTAAAAAGTCTCCTTGAAAATAAAAGTATAATGGCATCTTTGCAAGATTGCCAACATCATATACATTAAGATAGTTATTAAATTAACGCAATTGAAAAAAAAGTTTACTTTGTACATCTACACAAGTTTTTATAGGGAAATAGTCAAGAAATGATAAAGTTTTGATAGACTTTTTATTTTTTGTGGTAAACAGCACTGGTTCTGAGACAGGAGGGGAGGATCCAGGAATCCTTAGAGCTATTCCAGACTTGTACACTACTGAACCCACAGAGTGCTGACAACCTTAAACAGGTGGCTCGATCACTGTAAGTTTTAATAAAAATCTCTCTGTAGGCGATTAGAAGGGTGGTTATATTGACAGTTGGTGAAAGCTAATGAAAACATGTTTAGGTTATGCCAACCAACATAAAGTACATGTATTCTGTAGACATAGTTATAAAGTCCCCTTTTTAACCCATTTGCTATCCACTCATTGGATACCAATCTTTCAGAGTTTACTTCCAAACTACAGCTCATATATCAGGTGATAGATAATATTTTTTCATCCAAGGATACAACACAGTGTGAGAGACATTGTACTGTACCCATAGACCATGGGAATCAAGAGTGCATTTGTCTATTGTACCTGGTCAACATATACCCAAACATTTACAAGAAAATTTGCAAGGAAAATGTGCTATTTATAAAAACTTGGTTAGAATCCAGTGTTTGAGCAATCTTCATTATATTGAAAACAGAGAGAATGGTTGTGAACTGATGTCTGTATGTATTTCAAGGACAATATTTGAAGCAATTTTATTTCTTGAGTAACCTTAAAAAAAGAGAAAGATTGAGAGGGTGAGAGGAAAATTATAGCAATTATAGAAAGAAACATGATATCGATCTTTATTCATTTCTTCAGATTTCTTTTGGCTCGACACAAAGCTGCCGTGGAGTTATACAATGAGGCTGCTAAGCTGAGCGACAGAGATTGGGTATTTCTAAAATTTCTATTTCACATTTGAAAATTTTTATTGATTGTATAAAATTTTGTCTTCAGTTGAGAAACTACATAAGTAGTTGTGACATGACCTGGCGAGTTTTCCTTTGAAGTCAGCCATACAATAACTGCGATACAGAACACTTTTAGTGGGCGTTTCTCATGCAAATGAGCAGAAACTGTACTGTATCTGAAAAATATCAACGATACAGTACGGTTTATTTTTAGCGATGATGGAAAACTGAATCCGTATCTTAAATGTTATAGACAAATCAATCAAATTGCATGATAGCGCTGTTAGTATTTATTCAAAATTTGAGATGAATAAAGAATAGAATTTTACAACGAAAAGTTACCAGTGGCGGATTAAAAAATTTTAGAAAGGAGGGAGTGGGGGCAGTACACAAATGGTTTTCTTCAAAAAAAAAATGTCCAAACTGGAAAGTCGGGAGTTTCGTGGGGGGGTAGATTCATAATCAGGCCTGACACTATATGTGCGTGATTGTTTCGTGTTTATAAATTAAAAGTGTATACAAGTTTAGCAAACATAATTTACGAAAGCCAAAAAAAAAAAAAGAAAAAAAAATCGAAAGGGGGGGGGGGGGACATCGACGCGTGCGAGTGAGTGCTGGATCTGCCTTTGGTTCCTCTACGTTTTGTTTCAAACATGAAGGTAATATGCCCCCTTTCTTATAATCTGTTTATTTCAATTTGGAGCCAAGAATTTTGTATACACATGTATGACGACCGGTCGATGACATTGTCGGACATTTCTCTCAGAATACGACCTCCCCAAAACATTTTTGCTTCAAATACATTCCCATATATGATTCTTATGTATCAAAATGTTTTGCACTAAATTCGTAGCTTAGATTTAAAAAAAATCAACAAGAGCTAAATAGAAAGAAAAAAAACCTAAGCAATCAAATATAAATTAAATTTTGGGAAAACACATTATATAATGCATCTCATAATTATAATTATTTAAATTGATAGATACCTGCACGTCCACCTCACTCGGAATTTCAGTTGCGATTGCTAAAAATGGGGTACTGAATCAACTTTCTGTAAAATCATCTGATTGGTTGAGAGATTTATACCCAAATACACATGTAAATTAGCGAGGTCATAAGAAAGGTCATGTCACAAGTCATTTAGAATACTCGTTTCCTACTGTATCGGAGATACAGGGCGGGGCCCGGCTCGAGCTATCACTCTCGCCTTAAGCCTCGCCCTGTATCTCCGATACAGTAGGAAACTCGTACTCTAAATATAACATGTTGTATAAATGATTTTCAAAATTTAACAAAGTTTTTTAAAAAAAAAATTGAATATCATTAGTGACAGTGAAGTAGGTTTTTCCATTCCTAATTGTCAACAGTTTTTTCAAATTTAAATACATAATTAATTCAACATTGAGAAATACACATACTTACAATTTCAGGAAATAGCACATAATCAAGGAGTTTGTTACATGTATCTTAGAGACTACAAAATGGTAAGCTGAATCTTTCTTTTACAGCTTAATTGTCAATTTATTTTCCTTTAAGAAATGAGAACCCTTGTTCATTTATGAATTATTTTTTTTAAAGCTTTTTTTTCTTCTTTTTTTTCACAGAAAATATTTTATCTGGTAAATTACTACATGTACATGTATATTAGAAGAAAAAGTTATTAATGATATACGAGCAAGAAGAATTTGTAAACAGAGAATTCATTTATTTGGAGTTATCTCTCTTCCAATATCATTCTATGACAAAATTCATAGAATTGACCATGCATTTAGTATAAAAAATACATATTCATATTTTATAGGCAAAAGATTGTCTCAGCCAAGCATTGTCTTTCAAAAGACATGAAATTTCTTATGTGATGCTGGGGAAGATTCACCTAATGGAGGGCAATATAGAAGCAGCCATTGAGATTTATAAACAGGCCGTGGAGTAAGTTTTTCCTTTGTTTTGATAAAACCATGCAAACATTGATTTTATATCTCGGACATATTTCAGATATTTTTGTACTTCATTCCTCCCCCCAAGGAAGATATGGCATTGTTTGGTTAATGTATTTTCAGTACAAAACAATGAATTGTGATTTATATAGAGTAAGCAGTTTTTTGAAAATCCATTTATTGTGCTGTTTTTTTTAATCATTGTTCAAACAGTAGGCTAAATAAATATGGAAAACTTTGCACAATGATCGATTTAAAGAGATTGACAATATACTGGATAATTAGCCTAACAGATATATCAATGTATAAAATGCAGAAATTTTTCTGTCTTCCTTCTAGGCTTAATTAAAACACAGATTGTTTGTTATCTATATTTAAAATTGTTGTGTCTAGATATCTGAAATAGCATGTGTATGTATTTTAAAAAAGTGTCTGAAAAAATGATGGTCTGATTTTTTGCCTTGTAGGTATTCTCCAGAAAATCCAGACATGCTGACAACATTGGGACTTCTATACATGCAGGTACAATTTGTTTTTAAACTTCACAGACTTCATCTTACATATGCTGTGTTCTAAAGATTATACTTTCATAGGAAAAGAAAAGTACACAATTTGCTTTCATTAAAGGAGTATCTCAAAATGATATAATTTATAGACACGGTATTTTAAATCCATTACTTTCATTTATTCATATCAGGTTGGTCAGTACCAAAAAGCATTTGAAAATCTTGGTAATGCCATGACCTATGACCCTTCACATGTCAAGGCCATAATGGCAGCTGGGAGCATGATGCAGACACATGGTGATTTTGATGTGGCACTGAACAAATATAGGATTGCAGCAGTAGCAACCCCTGAGAGTCCTCCGTTGTGGAATAACATTGGGATGGCTTTCTTTGGCAAGAAGAAATATGTTGCTGTAAGTTTTTTAAGCAACCAGATTTCCTTTTACATTGGTACTATGAAAACTAAGGATGAATCTTTACTACTTACATTCAGAGATTTTGTCAAGTTGAAACATGTAATATTTACAACACCCAGTTTTCATTTTTGTGGAAGTCAAGTTTTTAGCATAATTATGTGATTCTATTGAAATCAGTATAAATTCAGCTATGAAACATTGCAAATCAGTTACTTCTATAAATTTAGTGTAAGGAAATAATATTTTAAGAATCAAAATCTGAATACTTTGAAGGTTCAAAATGGAGAAAATAATGTTTCACTGTTTAACTTCTTAAATTACTCATCATAGTGTATTTCTTATCCTGACAGAAGCTAGTTTTTTTGTTTTTGTTTGTTTGTTTTTTTTTGGAATGAACAGAAAGCAGAGCTGCATTTAAGACTATAGCTGCTAGGTTGATATCTAACCTAGCAGCTATAGGCTAGCCGCTATGTCTATTGAATGCACTGTATGAATTATCACTTGTCATCCCTACGTAGTCGCTAGCATATCATTGACGATGGTAGCTCTACCTAAAGCTAAGTAGCTGCTATGATCTTGAACACAGCCCTGATATATGGCTAAATTGGAATTTTTACTATGTATATGAATATCTTATATTACAGGCAATTAGCTGCCTGAAGCGTGCTAACTATATGGCCCCGTTTGACTGGAAGATTCTTTATAATTTGGGATTGGTCCATCTCACTATGCAGCAGTATGCGTCTGCTTTCCACTTCCTCAGTGCAGCCATTAACTTGCGTCCCAAAATGGCTCAGTTATTTATGCTCCTGGGAGGTAAACATTATATGCATAAAGTTATGAATCTATGAAAAAAAAATCCAACAGATTTTTGTTAATAATGCATGTAATTTATTTATTTGATCTGACATGAATTTTTGAGTATTTGGATGTTTTAAATAATTCAAGAATTCATTGCACTTTGAAATTGCCTTCTTTAATACCTAATTTGCTTAGAAATTGCAAAATTATTCTTTTAATACATGATTCAAGCTTTATTATCTAAAAAGGGATAAAAATTATTTTATTGAACCAATCTACAAATATAGAGTAATTATCCATATGCAAATTTGATGAAGTATTGTTCAGATTATATATTTTTTTAAATTAATTTGGACAGTTGCCCTGACTCATTTGGAGGACCCTGACAACGCAAGGAAGGCATATGAACAGGCTGTAACTCTGGAACAGTAAGTCACTTCCATCAAGGCATTTCTAAAAAAAAATTATATTATATATATACAGTTGAACTTCAAACACTTATCTCGAACACTGATGTCTTGAATACCATGGATATGTCAAGGTGATTTGGAAGTTCTAACCCCTTATTCTTTAAGTATTTTTCCCTGGATATCTTGAATCCTGGGATATCTCAAAGTTTTATCTCGGTCCCTTTGAGTTTGAGATATGGAGGTTTGACTGTATGGTGAGTTGAATTCAATAACATTATTTTTTTCATGAACTTGTGAATAGCAATACCTTTAAAAAAAATTATCCAACAAAATTCTTACATTTCAGGAAAGACCCTGCAATGAGTCTCAACTTTGCAATATTTTTGCACAACACTGGTGACAAAAGTGCAGCTCTGAAAAATTACAAGGAATTTGAGAGTAGATACAGAATCATGAAGACAACCAATCCAAATGCAGGGGATCAGGAGGTTAGAAAAACGTTGAAGGAGAGATTAAGAACTCAAACAATGAAGTCATTGAAAGTTGAATGAGAGTTTTTGTAAATTATGTAATTTTGTTTGATTTTTCTCAATTTCTCATTTAAGATGCAGGATGCAGCTCAGAAACTAGGAACTGTTCTACAAGTTGGTGAAAGTCTGGTGTGGAATGAAGGGGCCGGGAAAGGAACCACCCCGTCAGAGAAAGCAGAGCCTGATAGACCAGCAACCACCAGTGGAGTCAGTCTCCCTCCCACAGTCAAGTCCCCCATGGATCGTGAGCAAATTGCCACTCCCATAATACCCCCTTATTATCCTTACGAGGATGAGAAGGGTCCCAGTCGCATGGGGGAGACTCCTCTTCCCCCAACCAGAGGCCTCACCACTATGAAAACTGAATTTGAATTTAAATCACAGCACAGTGACTTGGAAAACCTTCCCAACCCCCCTGATGGACCCCCCTCATATGATGATGCAATGAGTGGAGGGATCAAAGAAGAGGAAAATGAGGAGGATTTTGTTCACCCCCCACCATCATGACTACCTGTGGCAGAGTGTCACATGGATCTGTGATTCTTTTTATACCCCCGCTCCGAAGGAGAGGGGGGTATACTGTTTTACCCTTGTGTATCTGTCTGTCCATCCGTTTGTGTGTCTGTCTGTCCGTAACAAATTTTGGTCGCAGTTTTCTCAGCAACTACTCATTCCAGATGCTTGAAATTTTAGCATACTCTTTGTTTAGGCATGCCATATGGTGGGATTCATTTTTTTACAATTCCGATGTCAACTTCCTGTTTATCCGTGCGTCTGTTCGTAGCATACATAACAAATATTGGTCGCAGTTTTCTCAGCAACTACTCATCACAGATGCTTGAAATTTTAGCACAACCTTTGTTTAGGCATGCCATATGGTGGGAATCATTTTTGTATGAATCGGATGTCAATTTCCTGTTTATGCATCTGTCCATACCATACATAACAAATTTGAGTGGTAGTTTTCTCAGCAACTAATCGCAGATGCTTGAAATTTTAAAACACTCTATGTTTAGGCATGCTATATGTTGGGATTCATTTTTGTACAAATCAGATGTCAATTTTCTAATTATCACTGTGTCTGTCCATAAGTGAGCTTGTGTATTCACATCGGAGTGGGAGTATTATTAGAGAGCACTGGCTCACAGACTTCTTGTTTTTTTTTGTTTTTTTTTGTTTTTGTTTTTTTTTATATTTAAATCTGTGGATCTGTGATTCTTAAGCGAGATAATTGTCACATGTTTACACTGAATCTTGTAGCAGTGATAGCTCTTCAGCTAATTTTTTTGTGATGTAAAGAATTATGTTGTTTTGTGTATTTCAAGAGATTATTAAAACATCATTATGCATGATGCTTTCTTATGCTTTACAGGTAAATGATCAGTATCAAGGAGCAGTGCATTATAATATTTGTATGCACTAAGAGAATTGTGCAAAATGATTTTCATCGGTTGTTTACTTTTGTCATATTTTTACAGAAAAGTGCTTTGCATATTAAATCTACAAAGAAATATGCATATGCCATAATTTTTAATGCCCATATCTGTAAATTAGCAAATATGTATTCATATTAGAATATAAATTCAAAATGTAATTTTTGCTTTTGAATCAGGGTTTATTCTTAAAAGCATAACCAGTAGTAATTCAGGACTGTGTTGTTGTTTTTTTACTGCATATGACCTTTTCAAAATTAAATTGAAGAAGAGTGAACCCATCTAATTTTATTACTCCAATACAAGTTGGCAAGAAGTTTGATTTATACTATCATTGTAATTGGATATTGTATAACCATGTGTGTATCCATGGTTACAAAAGGTTAATGAATAAATATTCCAAGAGAATGTAAATGTCCATCCATTTCCAATAAAACTAGGATAATTTCATATATATGAATGGTTCTTCCTTACTTCTATTTTTCTTTAGTCTTTTCAAAAATTCCCATTGACAGGACTGTGTCAGTGAAGCGTTTTTTCTCCTCAGGAAGGACAACTCTTGGATACTTGCAAGAAAAATGAATTATTGGCAGCAGTTCAAAAAATAATTTAATTAACTGTTATACAGTTAAAGGGGTTGGAGATTTTTTTTCTTTCTTTGTCCTCTCCCACCCCATCCCACCCCACCCCACCCTTTCCCTGAAATCAAGAAAATGAAGAGTTGTTCCCTAATAGCTGAGAAAATGAATTTTATTCAGTTTGTGCTCAACAGTTTCAGTGCTTCAGTTGCGTGAAAGATATTTTTGACAGCTTCATATAACAAGTTACAGGTTTAAAGACTAGGCCATCTTTAAAAAATTGTTTGGTTGCCCTCTCCTATCAGACTGGGTAAAAATGCCCTGACTCAAAAAAATTTTTTTAACCTCAAGGAAACGATTATTTTTTCTTAAATTTTGAAAATTCATCATTGATGTTGAAATTTTGTGGGAAAAAAACATTTTTCCCACCTACCTACTGACCCAGTTTTTTCATCCAGAGTTGGGAGAGGGCAAATCAACATTATTTTAAAGTTTGGCCCAAGGCCATTTTTGTTACTTTCAAAGTTTCATTGCCCAAGAAAATTAAAATTCCTACTTGTAAATGCCAGACCATGAGGGCTATATTTTTTACTGCAAATAAAGGTGCATAGACTGTTTTCTTGGTTGTGTGCAAAGGCAGATCTAGGGCCGGCGCGCCGGGCACCCCCCCCCCCCCATTTGAATTTTTTGTATGTCTACTTATATGTCTATTATATTATCCTAAAATCGAGGAAACGCATCTCTTATTTCTACGAATACGTCAGCTCAGACCCTCATCCAGGGCTTTGCCCTAGACCCACTGGGGGCTTCAATGCAGCCCCAGACCCCATCCCTGCCTTCTAACCCCCCCCCCCCTTGTTATGAAATTCCTGGATCCGCCACTGGTGTGCTTAATTTTATTATAGAAATTCTGAATTTCTCTTTATCCTGGATTAAAATATATTTGATTCTCATAACAAAACAAGATACATCAACAATTAAAATTGTTTAAATTTAGGGGGGGGGGGGGGAATCATTCAGTCACAAAACATTTTTTGAAAATTTTTACTTTAAAATTGTTAGTCAAAGTGTGCACGGTAAACTTCAAACTTATTTTAAGCTATTTAAAAAAATGTGCTAGGTCTGTTTTAAAAAATGAAGAATATTAGTATCTATCCACAGTATCTTGGCAGCAGGGACTGCGGAGGGGGGGGGGGGGCTTTTCAAGTAAGTGATATATCATCAGGCCCGTAGGAAGCAATTTCAGTTTGGGGCACAGCCATACATTTTCAGTTGAGGGAGCACTATCAACTACCAAAAATTCCTTTACAAGCAAAATAAATAAATAAATAATCTTTTCTTTTTTTTTTAAAAAAAGGGGGGCATCAGACTTTTTTTTTGAGGGGGCACAAGCATATACATGTAGTATCAACGTTTTCTAAAGTAATCTATATATCGGCAAAATTATTGCCCCCCCCTCCCCCCCCGGTTCCTACGGCCATGATCACTTATTCATTTCAACAGAGACATATAATAGATATGTCTCTGATTTCAAATAGGTGATATCACTTATAATATGTGATATGTGATATTATACTGTTATAGACTTTAGTAGGTCGATTTGTGGTTATAAGGACCCATGTCAAGTGATATTGACTGAAGACACAGAAAGTGATAGCGATCAATCTTGCGAGATATATTCCATGTCTATATCACAGAAGAACGAATATTGTGACTTTTTTTAGCCAATGAAATTACTAAAATAATCTTATATGACATCACCTATTTATTTTGTCAAAAAAGTAATATCGCCTATTCAAATGAGTGATCTCACCTATGCATAGATGATATCACCTACTCAATTTGAATGAGTGATATCACTTTTTTGAATAGGTGATATCACCCATTTGAATATGTAATATCACTTAATTAATGGCAATAAATACCAAGATGGCACCTGTTACATATATTCTGAAGTACTTATTTACTTCATCTTGCGTTTAATATTTTCTGTATATAATTGGTTTTATAAATGAAATTTTTTAAATAAAAGTGTGAACGTGTTTACAACCAATGCATAAAATGATTTATATATCTATTTTTTCTTCACTTTGTCCTGTCTGCGGGTAGCTTTCTGATATGTATGGATCCATTTCTTTATTTGAGCTTATCAAGGACAATCCCACATCAAATGAAGAGCAAAAGATGCTTGATCCGCCCCAATATTGCAAATGCCGTTGTAGTGAAAATCAAAATGACATAAGTAGATCCGCGCCCAAGAGATCCTAAAGGGCAGATGACTCCAAACATTAATTACAGGAGTTCATGATGTGGGACAAAGGAGTTCACGGCGTGTTAAAGGGACCTTAGTGACGCGTTCACTCGGTGCCCATTGCGCGTGGACGACACACACGTGTTCATACGAGGAACTAAATCACGGAAAGGTAAGACTGTGCACATGCAGATTATATTAAGACGGTAAATGTATTTTGGAGCAAGAAGAGTGATGCTGCCCGTATACCGGCGAAGCTTAAATAGTAATGCAATCAAACTCATGAACTTAATCAGGTAAAAAAAAAAATCAGATTGAAGAATATTATGATATCATTAAAATCATTGTTGGAACTTCACGGTTGTGCATGAATTATATAGTATGACATAATGAGATTAAATATTGTCATGTCTTAATCTTTCACGAAAAGATAACTCTGCCATAGATTTTATTAGGTGTATACTTAGACCTAATATTAGTGAGGCTTCATTACATTTTTTTAAAAAAATTACGTTTAATGTTAATGCACCATCCCATTATGCATCATACGCACTTAAATTGTCTTGTTTACCCCGCACTTCATTTTTCATTTACACTGCATAACGCACAGCAGGTTTATTGTGAGGTTAGAAAAAATTATGCAAACTGCAAATAAGGTAAGATAATTGACGACAAATTGGGACATAACATTATTTATTATACTTCTGTTAAAATGTTTCCTATATAAAGTTAAGAAGGTAAAATAACTATCTTTATAGTCTAAAAATTTCCACACATAGCAAAGCTATACCCCGGGGTATAGTTTTTGCTATCCACCCCTCGGAAAATTTTCATGCAATTTTTGCCGCCAATTTTGATTTCCTGTAATCAATCTATAGACTTATGATGTCATCCTGACTTCAGTAGCATTGTGACGTCATCAGGATTTCAGCTCATTCTAGCAGTGTTATCTTATTCCAGATACTTGTTCAAGACTTTTATAATTTTTTTTCATGTTTTTACTATAGAACTGTAGTATCAGGTAAATCCAACCCTCAGAAATTATGATATACATCAGTATAATAAAACGCTTATCCACTGGCTGTGAGTGGGATAGCTCTTTCATCAAACCCTTGACAGGAACTATTCCCCTCGGGCAAGCCCTTGGGGAATAGTTCCTGTCGCGGGTTTGATAAAAGAGCTATCCCACTCACAGCCAGTGGATAAGTGTATAATATCACATATTGGCTATAGGCTAAAATATATAGGGAGAGATATTTCAAAACAGAATAGATACTTACTGGACAATTATTTTAATGAATGTAAAATTATATCATTTCTATTGCTTTTGTGAATTTTAAAAGTTTCTTAAAAATTATTTTGTGAATATTCAGTAAACAAAGAGTGCTAACTACAAACATGATAAATAAAATGTACCTGATGACGAAACACCACCTGTTGACCTTTTAAACTGATTTTGTTCGGGGGGGGGGGGGGTAAGTTCACATTTATACTGTAGCAAAAATTTCAGTGTAAAAGTGAAATTCACACTTTTTTCTGAAAAAAAAAAAAATAAAGCTGAAGTGATGAATTAATTGAGGGGTCGCTGATCGCCCCTGGTGATAACCACTGACCACCTCAGCACCCAATAGCAGAAGTTATCATAATATTTTACATGTCATCGTGAATAGTGTCAAATCCTGTTAAGTCGTAAAATAGCACCCTGTGACGCAGGTAGGATTATGGTCCTTGAGGGATTTCTTACTTTTTTTCTTCTTTTATGAAGGTTTTAGAAATATCATCTTTGGAGGTGGCTTTCATTCATCCAGTATAAAACTCCTCAATTAAACATAAAATGCGGCAAATATCTAAAGCTAGCATTCCTAAGATGCTTCTCAAAATAGGTATAGATGACTGTCTCTTTTGGTCTTGAGGTGCAGTGAGTTCCATCTTTTGTAGAAAACGTTTGTCACTATGATTCAGCAAACTGCTCTATTTTCCATTCTTACCGTACTTTAGGGTACCTGTGTATCTCTATTATTCAGCAGTATTTTTCTTATCTACGGGGTAAAATTGTAACTTTGACAGGTCAAAAAGTGGGAGATAAATATGTGCATGAATTGCACAAAAGATTATGTAATTTAGTTAAAGAATTTAAAATCTATTACTTTCAACACAATTTAAGTTTGCATTTCAAGAAGTTGATGTGTTTTTTTATGCTTGCTGAAAATAATTTCAGTTATAAGTTAATTATCATATAAAAAGATGTAAAATCTTAATTTAAAGTTTGTTTTATATCTTAACATGCTTAAGATAATATATTAAAATTTTAAAAGGTATATTTACTGAAAATGATTTTTAATCATTATTTAATAGTGCTGTATATTTGAATTCCAACCTCTTCAATTGCAAGATTACATTTTTTATGCCCTCAAAGATGAAAGATCATGGGTTGCAATCATAAAAAAAACTTCAGCTTTGACTCTAACAATAGCATTCCATTTAATGTCTACCTAGATAATGTCTAGTTTTCGAGTGTTTTATTATCAAAAGTCAATTAGCCATCATATTCACCTACACATATAGATTAGCAGTGAAACACAGTCACTTTCTTATTTCATGTGTACAAAAAAACCCCTTCAATTTTAAATAAATTAGATCAAATGAGGTGTTGATAAAATATTCCCACACTGAATATGAATTTAAAACTACGTTTAAAACTTTTACTCCAAGAATTCAGTAAACCATGATTAATTTTATCTTTAAACGACAGTTAAAAGTGACCCGCATTTATGCAGCCAGCCGGGACATCGATAAACTTATTAGCTCTAGAGATATAAATTATATTATTACATACATTGATCAGAAATTCATATATTTTAAAGGAGAGAAAGTGTTGAGGTGCAACTATGGGTCATGTTTTGAGAAATTCCTCAGTCATGACGAGAATGAATGACCATGTGGCCGAAGGTCCCCCAAGTCAAGGCTCTGTTGTTACAACCTGTGTAGGGGGTGGGCCCACTTATTGATTGACAAACACCTTTATATAGTTTCAACGTACATGCCTTTAAAAGGAGAAGAAATTCAAGATTTTTTCCCCACTCTTTCCAAAAAACCTTCAACTCAACACTGATTTGCTCCAGCTGTAAGTAACAAAACTGCAAAGTTAACTTGGGGGGGGGGGGGGGGGTGCATTTGTATTTTTGTTTGTAGTCAGATTTAGTTGGGACAGCTTTTTTTTTTCTTTCTCTTAGTCTAAGAGTATTTTGAAAAAAAAAAATATATATGTTCTTATTACAAAAATTTTAACATAACTTGTATAGATCTTTATTTTTTTTCAGTATGAAAGACAAATGATACAATTTCTTTTTTTAATGCTAAATAATTATATCTTTTCAAGTTTTTTAAATTAAAAATAGTGTAGTGTTCTGAAAAAAGTTCACTGAAAATTTATGTCGAATACTTATAATTGCATTCTGTTCAAAATACATGCATCTTGATTTTCGATAGCCAAGTGTACAATAGGTTTACCCTCATCTGGGTAAAGGAATTGGACACTTGGTTAGTGAAGATGAATACATGTATGCAGTGTGTACCATGTTTAAGGAAAGCAATACATTATATCTGTATTGTTTAGCATTGTGGAAGTCAGATGGATTTGTTCTTGGTTGGCCGAATGAATATGTGTAGCTTGATCAACTGATAAAACACCTGCCTAGATTTCAGGAGGCCTGGATTTGAACTCTGGTCTGAGACATTTTCTATTTCTGTTTATTTGATTCTTTGCTCTGCCCTGGGAGATCAGGTAATAAAACTGCTGGGGATGAAGATGTTGAAGGAAATATGGATCAGTCACTGACCAAAAAGCTCAGTTGGTAGAGCAACTTTCTAAAGCACAGGAGGCTTATTTTCAAATCCTTGTCCTGAGCTGTACATTCTCTCCCTTAATTCCTTTTAGTTTTACAATTGGTTCTTTGTCATGCCCCTTGAGGTACAGGTGGAAAAATGGATCTAAGCCTTGGCCCAGGGTTGGTATCCTCAGGGGCAAAACATTTGAAGGAGGGAAGAATGAGGTAATCAGGGAGGTTTCTTGACTGGTAGCCAGACACCTCAGTTGGTACAGCACTTTTCTAGAGTTAAGGAGGTGCCCAAGTTCGAATCCTGCTCTGATCCATTGCATTTTCTCCCTTCCGTCACAGTACTTTTATGACTGACATACTTGTAGAACTGTCATTTTAATACCAAATTGAACTTCTCATAGTGGTTAGATCACAGGTAAACCTAAAGCTGATTGATAAAAGTGTGTGTTGTTTGTTGTTTTGTTTTTTGGTTTTGCATGGCAAGTGATTTGTTGGAAGGGGGGGGGGGGGTCTTAAAACTCTCCAATTTTCTGCTTACTAGTACTTGTTCTGGAATCTACATTTCATGATTTAAAAACAGAAATGGGTTTCATGTAATTTATGCACTTGCTTAAAATTTTCATTGCTAGAAAAGTAGCACTTGTAATTTTTAACAATTGTGTGAGTACTTGTGTAATGTATAATTGATTGTTGACTATTTTCATCAGGGACGAGAATCATCATATATATACTGCTAAAATCAATAAGGTAATGGATTGCAGATAGCTTTTGGCTAAGGTTTTTCAATGGAGCTGGGTGTACACATATCAATATACATCTACTCAATGAACACAATCCAAAATTCTGCAAGGGGGGATATCTTTCATAAGGGTGTTGGGAGGGGGGTTCATACTAATCTTGTTAACCCTTGGAGGAAAATATTGTGCAAGAGGCCAAAGATGTTTTTCAAAAGGCCCTTTTAATTCAGAGGATAAAAGGGGGGGGGGGGGGCTGTCTCTCTAAATACAACCATAGATAGCTTCAAAGAATTCAGTTTTAAAAATAGCTGGTCCAGTTTAGCTGGTAAAATCCATGGATACAACCTCTGAATTTGAAATGATTAACTATTCAACAACAGTTATTAAGTACTTTTACAAATAAAACAGCCCTTAATGCTCTTTTCTTTTTTTCCCATGAATCGAGCTAATTAGTCTATTGTTTGTTGTGTTGTTTGCATAGAAATGATTTTTATATGTACCAGTAACCTGATTTATGAAACGTTTAACAATCGATATAAAGAACGTTGAAATCTTGCACAATTAAATGGAGAAATTTTGAAACTGCAAGTAAACAGAGAATGGTATTAATTAGAAGTTAAGATTTGGAACAAGCACTCACGATAACTGTATTTAAAATATCCATAGTTCTAGGGCCGAGGTATTTAAAACAGTTTATATGTGTGTGTGTGTGATCTAATTTTGCCCAGTGGTCTGTCAAAATTTGGAACATGTCAATAGTACCTTGATGAATGTGGTATTTATTGTAATATTTAAAAGGTTGTCCATGCATTGTGTCCATGATAGGTGGATTATGTCATAACTTAACGGGATATATAAGTTGTACATGTAGTACCGGTCATTTAATTCATATGCATTCAAGTATAATCAGCTCAATGAAGCACATGTTATAATCATTTATGAATGTGCAAGGATACAGCATCAGTGTCAAGTGAGTTACAGGTCTGAGACTTCATCAGAATATATGTTTTCCAAATAGTAATGGAAATTTTGTCTGAAGAAAATTACGGTATTTTGAAAAAAAGAAATCAATGATTAACGAATAGCATTAAGAAGCATATCTAATTTTTACAAATATTTAATATTGTAGTTAAGAGACCTCTATTTTTTGCAATTATAAATAAATTTTGAAATAAGATATTTTTTCAGATATTTTATTCTTGCACCTGTGTAGCTATTTCATTATATAATGCATGTGTACCTTTAAAAAATTTTTGGAGGGGGGGTTATAACTATTGTCTTTTATGCAACTTGCACAAAGCCTGGTTTAAGCTCCACTTATTTACTTGAATGTTTTGGTTTGGTTTTTAAATTTTTTTTGCAATTTTCTGTTTAGTTCCATTTGGACTCGGACTGTGTGTTAGAATGGAGTGTGTTGGCTGCTAAGATATACATCGTGTAGGCCTCATTCCAAAGACATAATGCCATCTAATGCCTGCTCCACTTACAAAGAGGTCATCATTGTTGGTAAGACTTAATTCAGTATATAGATTCTTATTAGTTTTATGTGATACAACAGCCATTTTTTTTAACCCCATGTGACCTGTGTAAAAGACATTAAATTTAAAATTTTCAACACAGACGAAACATCAAATATTTTTAACACCATGGACAAGTACTCAAATTCTACTTATAAATATCATATAAATTGCATAATGTTAAAGTGTCTGATTAATCATGTTTATAATCAACAGGAAATGGCCCCTCAGCGATCAGTCTGTCGGTCTTCCTGTCAGGGTATCGGCCATATTTTGCAGGAGGTACTCACTCCAACGTGTACCTTAACGAAAAACTCCAAAAGATGAACCCAAAGAAATCCATTGTAGAGCAGGTATTGAATAAAAAAAGTCATTGAAAACACATGCTTTGTGGCTAAAAAAAAATATTAGAGATGGGAGCATGGGAAGTTGTTGACATATCCTTGTAACAAACTGAGAAGGAATGAGAAGGTGTTAAAGGGTGCATTCAAGTACAGAACATGTCTTACTAATAGGTATTTACCAACAAACTAGCTCTCACAAGCACAGCCTGCAAGCATGTTCAAGATAATTTTCACTGATAATTTTTTTTATACAATAGCATTGAAAATGTTGATTGGATGGGAAACTGAGCTAAATGATATGACCTTAATTATCTAGACTTGAAAAGTTACTAGTTTTTATTTCCCAGTAGAATGTACCGTAAATGTAAATTGTGAAATTCTTGTGTCAATAAATTGTTGATGGCTCAGAGCTAGGATGTTTGTGTGTGCGCCGTCAATATGTACAGGTCAATAAGTCAATACATTGTATGATACGTGTCATAAATACAAAAGGCTTTAACTTTTGTAGAAACCTGTATCTTGTATTCTACTCCTTAAAATCAATTTTTTATATCTTTGTAAAATATATACTCTATATCATTTAGACAATTCTTTTATTGCTCAACTATGTGTGTTAATCTCTTATTAATGTCCTTTGTTCAATATTCTCTCTTCCAGCATCGTTAAATTTTCATGTACTAATTTGCTGATGTCACGATATGCAGGATTTGTCCTTCTTGTCGGAGGGACTTGAAGGCCGTTCTCCCAACCCAGTGGCTCTTCTGTTTGACGCCCTCCGCAGGCCAGATGCTGACCTAGGGGTAGACAACCCATCCCTGTTGGAATGGAAGTTTGAAAAAGAACATGCTGTAGATCATTTGGTTTTGGGGAAAGGCAAAGCTGGTGGAGCATGGCAGGTAGAGTCAATATGTGTTTATATACAGTCAAACCTTGTTATCTAGAACTGGATGGGACCATGATTAAACGTCAAGATATCCAAGGGTTCATGACAACCAGGGTAAAAAACATATAGAAAAAAAGTTGTTGGGACTGGGATTCAAGATAACAAGGGTAAAAAACTTAAGGAAAAAGTTGTTGGAACTGCCAATTCACTTCTATTCCCTGGTATTTGAGATATCAGTGTTCAAGATAAAAAAGTTCAACTGTATTATTTGTATGAAAAATAATGTAGAATCATCACTGGTTTCATTTGCCTTTATTTTATTTTGAAGTCAATATGTTTGATAAATGAGAATTCTTTTTCATTTAGAATATGGATGGAGCCATGCAAACATTGAGTTTTGCAAATTGGATGGAGCTCCCCACTCTGAATTTCAGAGAATGGCAACATTCGCACCACAGGTAATTCTATGGATATTATTTTCAGCAATCTACATTTATTTCTGAAGTAACTTGGAAGAGTTGACAAAATACATAATGTGGAGGCACTATCTGTATTTAATCATTTTAACATTATTTTAAAATTTTATTAATTTTCTTAATCAAAATATGACCGTGCAGGTCCAACATAGGTTGAAATATTAATGATTTCTGAAAGCTTCTGTAACAGTATAAAAGGGCTTTTTTAACTTATCAAGGTATTCTATATATCAAGCCAAGTGATTTTTAACTTTGAACCCTTATTTCAAAGATTAACTGCACATATGTTGAACAGACTGACTGAGGTAGACAAATGTTATCAATGGTTTGATGTCTGGAAGATGTAACCATTTTAAATTTGTTTAAAACTTAATGCATTTTAGTTTTATGGTTATTGATGGCAAGCATAGGGTTTTATTATTGGAGATATTCCTAATTACAAATGTAATAATCTTAACCTGTGCTGAACAATTTTCCATCAATTTTCCAAATTAGTACCAAAACATGTAGTAAAAAAATCTAAACATTTTTACTTCCTTGATATAAAAAAATGTTTTAAACTAACTACACAGTCTCATAGAAATGCTTGCTCTTTCCAAAAACCAATTTTTAGTGGGTGAACATGTTATCCAAGTCAGAAATATAGGTTATCAGGAAACAAGGTCAAGCACTTGTTTGCTTTTCACTTCCTAGAACTTCAGTATTTCTTTTCCCTGCAGAAAAGATAAACGGGCTCTCTGAATATATGTTATCTTTATAAATGTTTTACTCAATAAAAAATGCTTAAATGATAATAATTGTTCACCAATTTTGCAGAGATGAAAACCATGCTCATAATGGTAGAGCAACAATTGCAGACGTTAGAAAGTACTACAGTGATTTTGTGGAAAAACGAGGACTGGGGCCATATTTCAGGGACCAACATGTAGTTACATCGGTACAGAAGAAGTACCATAGCAATAAAGGTGTGGATTCAGAGAGTGGAGAGGTGGAGCCATGCAAATGTAGAAACAAAAACCACTCCTTCCTCTGGGAGGTCAGAGGTTATCATTTCCATGGAGACGGTGACCAAGATAGAGAAGAGTTCTGTTATTGCACCCCAAATGTTGTAATTGCAACAGGAACCTTTGATGTCCCAAACAAACTCTGTATTCATGGTGAAAACTTACCATATGTTTATCATTCTCTACAAGAGGTTGAACATGTTTTATCTCACAACCGAAAGAAGAAATCCCAGGACCCTGTCGTCATCGTTGGAGCTGGACTTAGTGCAGCAGATGCCATCATCATGGCCCTCAAGATGAAACGCCCAGTAGTTCACGTTTTTCGACGAGGAGCTAATGACTCTCAACTTATTTTTAAAAAATTGCCGGCAGCTATCTATCCAGAATATCACAACATCCATTCTATGATGAAAGGCAAAACCATCAATCCCCTGTACAAACCATACCCAAACCACTCATTGGTGGAACTGAAAGAGGACAACCATGTTCTGATACAGACAACTTCCGGAGGAGACATTGTATCTCTGGATGCCTTCTGCGTAGCTATTCTGATCGGAGCATGTCCAGACTTATCATTTCTTCCATACGATGGCAGAAATCTCGGTGTCGTACCACGCTGTGCCATCGACAGCAAGCACAATCCAATTCATGTGGACCCATTTTCTTACCAGTGTTTTGCAGAAAGTGGACTTTACTCAATGGGACCATTGGTGGGGGATAATTTTGTTCGCTTTGGGATGGGGGGCTCTTTAGGCATAAGTAATCATTTGTTGCGCATAAAAAATAAACATGCACAATAGTTAAGATCCTCAAGTGCAATAGCTGTGATGTTAGGTTGTGATAACCACATTTTTAACTTATTTTAATATCAGATCTTTCTGTTTACTAACAGGGATCTGGGCCTTATATACCTCAACTGACTGATCTGTTTTTTGTTACAATTTTTTATATTAAAAAGTTTAGAATTTTTAAAAAGAAAAAAGATGTCTTCCTTTTGTGTTTCTATAGTGTTAACTGTAAATGTGGGCATTTGAAAAGTTCTGATATGAAATTTTAACAGTTTTTAAAATGTTTTCTTATGCTACTGTAAAAATATGTCTTCTGAGTATTGTATTTGAAAAGTTTTATTGGTGCATATGACCTTAAGGTCAGATGACACGTTCCTCAATAATATATAATTTTTTCCAAGAATTTGTCATTGAAGTATTGATATTTTAACAAGTTTCCTCAAGAAAATTAAGGTACCTTATCAGGTATTTGAGCAAGATACTGGAGGATGCTATTTATTCTATAATCCTATTCGAAATCATTAGCATTGCCAATGTCACAATTTTTATGGTATCTTATCTACTAAGACATTTAAAAACAGCTTAAAAATCAGAAGACAATGATAATTATGATTAATTTGTTGTATATTATGAAGAAATACAAAAACAGATATTTGAGCAACATATCGTCAGACCTTAAATAAATACAGTTGGGCCTCAATTAGTCTGGATGCTTATGCTCCTCAGGAAATGGTCCAAATTAATGGAGGATTCATTGTTCCATTTATTACTGGTAGATATAAATTTAATGTAAATGTGTTCCATTGCCCACAGATTTTGTTAGAAATGTGAAGCGTCTGGATTGTATGCATCCTGATTAATATGGCTTGACTGTACTAGATTTACTGGAATTCAGCGACACTTTTTTTTTCTACATGGGGACTTCGAACCCATATATATAAATAGCAATTTTGTAAAAATAATGTTTGGTGGTAGTTTAGGACTAAGGAGTGAGGAATATATTAAAATGCAAGCTTTGCAGATGAAAAATTCTTGGATCATTAGAGCATACATTCAGTATACAAATGAACAAGAATGTACTGTCTTGGCAGTCATACAAGTCATAAAAAAGATAAATGATATGTCACAAAATACACACATTTTTTCTGATTTATTGATTGATATTAAAAAAATAAATTGTTGAAAACTGATAAAATTTATCATTTATTTGAACTTTGCAGATGCCCCCTGTAGTTTTTTAGGGCACCCTAGTTACTCAGATGACCTGTTGCTATCTATAGTTGAACTTTTTTATCTCGAACACCAATATCTTGAATATCAGGGAGATTTTGAAATGAGATCATTTCAAATGCCGATCAGTCCAGATATTTTTTTTTGGTTATTTTGAATCCTCCAATCTCTCGGAGTTTAATCTTGTTCCCATCTAGTTCGAGATAACAAGGTTTGACTGTATTTCCACCTGTCGTGAAGTAGGTATGTTATGGATTTTCAGTTTCTTCTATGTAATTTCTAAACCAAATTCAACCAGTTTTCATATGTATAAGCATCTGTGGATGAAGGGGAATAAAAATTTTGAATTTCATGGCCCTCCTCTAATGGGGCCTAAGGACTTGGAGCAACACCTTGAAAATCTGGGCAATCGTCAAAAATCATCTTTACTCCTGGCCTGGAAACCATATTAAACTGAGAACAGACTCAGTCAAAATTTCAAAGTCAAAATTTCGATTTTGAATATCTTGCATTTTATTTAACATATGCACTTAAAAATTTGCAGATGAGTATAATATTTTAGTTTGAACATCTGATGAAAATTTTGTTTCATTATCAAAATTATTTCAAAAGTAATATTGATTTGAAATTTTGACTTAGGTCTGTTCTCAGTTTATGGTCTTGGGGCCTGGACAACTAGAATGCAAACTGCTTGCATGATAATAATGAACAGCAAGCTCTCTGCCAGATTTGTGCCCCCTGGGTCAAAGGATCAGGTCATAGGGTGGGGCTAAATCTATCATATTTTGAAAAAAGATCAGTTTTACTATCATTTACTTGACTCATGGACATCTATCAGACAAACTGTTTGCAAGATTGTAATAAGCAGACACCCTCTACTTCATGTTCCCTAGGTGGGAGGGACTTTGTCATTCATTAGAAATACATTGCACCTTTGAAAATCTTGGCAAGGAAATATCCAGATGACTGTATTAAGGGCCCATGGGCCTTTTGTGTTCATCTCTTGTGTTTACCAAAATGATGTTGAGACATCAACACAATTTCTCCTTTAATTTGAAGTGTATGATAATATCAAGTGAAAAAAAATTCACTGGAGAATGAACTTGCTGAAAAAAAGATTTTAAGAGAACTATATGTGTATTTAAAAGCATTTAAAAGAATGTCAAAAAAAACCACATTTTAAAAGAATTTTAATTTACATTCCACCTACATTTCAAGCTTTAATAGATGTAAAAGACTATTTTTAACATTCATAAATTAAATGGAAAACGTTTGTAGGTAAAATAGCAAAACATGTAATATTAACATGTTCAAACTGTGTAAACAGGATACAGTTTAAGCTATGCAAGTATCTAAAAGTGATTATACATTATTAATATTGGACCTGAGAAGCACACCCACATGATGTGAAAACATGAAAGCGTGACAGTCCACTTAATTTTATCTGATAAATATATACAAAATCATAATATTTTTGTTCATTTGTACACATTATTGCGAAAACCTTTTTTACACAAGGTGACATTACAGTAGATAGAAATACATGTACTGAATCACACATTACAGTATATAGAAATACATGTACTGAATCACACAAAGTAGTGAACTCAATTCACTGTAGATTAATTTAATATTGATAATCATTGAATGACTGCTTCTTCCTGTTTTTCAAGCTTATTTTCTCCAATTTGAGCTAAATGCTCTGCTGCTAATTTTCCTAGCCTCATTTAGCATTTCTGAAGCAGATTCATGAATCGAAGTATTATTATTTACTGTGTTTATCAAGTATCCACATGTTTTGACCTTATTTCTACAAATACCTGTAAATAAGCTATATGTAAGCATTCAATTCAATGCCTAGCAAAGTAAATAATATTTTTGCTAATTAAAAGGAGATTTGCTGAAAATTCCTCATCAGATAAAAATACCAAGGCAATATATTTTTTGTCAAAATAAATTTCCACGACACATCAAAAGCTACTTTGAGGATTAAATTAGCTTAAGTTAAAAGAGTTGCAGTTATTATACTGCATCTGAGTTTGAAATGATCATCTCAGTATAATTGAACATTAAACATGTAAAAATGAAGATTTCAAGAACAGTAACCAACTATTTCTTTAGATTAATATTTATAATTGTACTGTGCATTTATTAACAGCAAATTTTAAACTCTATACATGTACTAGTATTATAGCATCTTTAATATTTGCACATAAAACAATTTTAACTTTTTTTTTAAACAATACAAAAAAATTCATATAAAATGATTAAGAACTAATATCAATCTTTCCATGCTGAAACTGGATTTCAAAAGAGATTTCTTAAAAGATTCATCAAATAAAATCTTGGTATAGCATATTCCACCTCAAGGTTCAGTTAAACTGACTATTTCTTAACCACTTGTGACCATAATCAAGGTTTTGTTTTGTAATACCATACTGGTACTTAATTGATACATTTATACTAAGAAGAAAAAAAAATCCTAAGTATCGGGAAAGTTGAATATGAAACATCTAGTATAAAATTCCTTCCTGTTTCATCAGTTATGGAAATTGAGTAAATTCCCTTCCTTCCCCATATTGATCACTCATAATATGGTACCTTGAATTTTTAATTAATTTGAACAGCATTCTACACTGGTTGAAAAACTTGAGTAATTTTCAACAAGATAATTTTTAATCATTAGACATAATTAGAAATTCTTTAAATGACTGAAAATGCATCTACATGCATCTCTGTTGAATAGAATTCTATAAACAAGTTTTAACCAAGTTTTATTAGAATATGGGGTAAAGTACTGGAACAATGTACATGTAATATACAAATAACATGATAAGTCAGTTACCCAGAAGTAGGTCACTGTGACCTAATTTTGGAATTTTATGGCTATACATAATCAAATCATATTTGAATGATATCTTATACATTGTGGGGCCCCAACAAAAATTATCAAACTTTAAATGTCAATTGATTGATTGATTTTCAGGGATGGTGCATCATGGTTTTTAGCTCACCTGAGCTGAAAGCTCAAGTGAGCTTTTCTGATCACATTTTATCTGTAGATCAATCCATCCATCTGTCCATCCGTCTGTAAACTTTTCAAATTTTCAACTTTTTCTCCAGAACCACTGGGCCATTTAAACCAAAACTGCCACAAAGCATCCTTGGGTAAAGGGAATTCAAGTTTGTTCAAACGAGGGGCCATGCCCTCATTCAAGGGGAGAATTCAGAAATGAGTGAAAATTTGGTTGCATGATTTAAAACAATCATCTTCTCAAGATCCACTGGGCTAAAAAAGTTGAAAATTATAGGAAACCTTCTTTACCTGGTGTAGATTTCAGATTTGTTCAAAAGATGACCCCCAGGGGTAGGGTGGGGTCACAATGGGGGATCAAAGTTTTACATAGGAATATATAGGAAAAAATCTTCTGCTCAAGAACAGCAAAGCCATTATAATTCATATTGATATGGTAGCATTGTCAGGTAGTGTAGATTTAATTTTTTTCAAATGATGACCCCCGGGGTAGGGAGGGGCCATAATGGGGGATCAAAGTTTTACATAGAAATATAGGGGAAAATCTTCTCAAGAATAACAATGCCATGATTAGTCATACTGATATGGAAGCATCCTCAGGTAGTGTAGATTCAAGTTTGTTCAAATGATGACCCCCGGGGTAGGGAGGGGCCACAATGGGGGATCAAATTTTTCCAAATGGAATAATCTGCTCAAGAACAGCAAAGCCATGTACATATTGATATTGAAGCATCCTCAAGTAGTTTAAAATTCAAGCCCTCCCCCCCCCCCCCCCCCCCATATGTAAACTTTTCAATACGGAACTGATTTGTGCTTTTACCTAGCCATGTGTTCAGATGAGCCATGTGGCTCATGGGCCTCTTGTTAAGTAATTTATGATGACTTCTTCCTGATGAGCTCACTATCTGCCGAGTACTTAATAAGTTTTTGAACAAGAAATGTGCAAGAAACATATATTCCCCCGATGTTGCAACATTAACAAGAGGCCCAGGGGCCATATCGCTCACCTGAGCACTATGGCTAGGAAAAAGCAGAAATCAGTTTAGTCTTGAAAGGTTGAAAAGTTTAAATACAAAAGTGGTTTGGGGGGGGGATGAATTGAACAAATGAATCTACATTACCCGAGGATGATTCCATTTAAATATGACCAATCATGGCTGTTCTTGAGTAGAAGATTTTTAAAGATTTTTCCTATGTATTCCTATGTAAAACTTTGATCACCCATTGTGGCCCCACCCGACCTCTAGGGGTCATGTTTGAACAAACTTGAATCTACACTATCTAAGAATGCTTCCATATAAATATGACCAATCATGGCTTTGCTGTTCTTAAGAAATAGGTTTTTTTTTTTAAAGATTTTTACTATGTTAAACTTTGATCGCCAATTGTGGCCCCACCCGATCCACTGGGGTCATGATCTGAACAAACTTGAATCTACACTTCAGGTAGTCTACCTGAAGATGCTACCATATAAATATGACCAATCATGGCTTTGCTGTTCTTGAGAAGAAGATTTTTAAAAGTTTTTCCTATATATTATTATGTAAAACTTTGATCGCCTATTGCGGCCCCACCCAACCCCGGGGGTCATGATTTGAACAAACTTGAATGTACACTATCTGAGGATTCTTCCATGTAAATATGACCGATCATGGCTTTGCTGTTCTTGAGAAGAAGATTTTTTACAGATTTTTCGTATATATTCCTATGTAAAACTTTGATCGCCCATTGCGGCCCCACCCGACCCCCGGGGGTCATGATTTGTACAAACTTGAATCTACACTACCTGAGGATGCTTCCACATAAGTTTCATATTTTCAAGCACAGTGGTTCTTGAGAACACGAATTCATAATTATGTCCCCTTGGAAGAAGGCGTGGCCCTTCATTTGAACAAATTTGAATCCCCTTTACCCAAGGATACTTTGTGGCA